AGTTCTGTATGAATAAATAAATAAATCTTAAAAAAAAAAAAAAAAAAAAAAAAAAAAAAGAAATGGTGCATGAGCGTTTAGAAGGTTGAGCCTAGTGAAATGGCCTAGTATGAGATCCGGAAGGCTATCAATCAACATATTGCTAGGGCTGGGAGGGATGAGATGTTAAAGACAATTGTTTCCCCAGTAAGCCTGTGTTCTGTGTTTCCTGCAGAGTGGTGAAGCCCTGTGTCAACTCACTAAGGCCCAAGGGGTTAGGACTGGGTGCCAACCCGACCGAGGTCCAGGCCCTGGCCCCCACTGGCCCCCACCGCCTGCCAAAGCCAGATGCAGATCCAGAGAAGGATGAGAAAGACCATCCCAAAGGACTGGTGCCTGGAGGTGCTGTGGTGGTTCTCTCTGGCCCTCACCGAGGCCTCTATGGGAAGGTCAGAAGCCAAGACAGGCAGCAAGGGGAAGGTTGATGTGAGGGTTTGGGTACAAAAGCTGAAAGCTCTTTCAGACCTGCTTGACCCACTGCCTCAGTCGGTAACTCAGGCCTACTTGTTGGGCCTCTCTGGACCTCATATACAACGGAAAGGGAGAGAATGCCATATGCTCATAAGTGCTTATGGGTTAAATGCTTAAAATATGTCCAGGTTCTATAGTCTGGGGAAACACGGGTCAGGCCTATTGGAGTTAAGGGTGGTTTGCTTGGTCCTAGAAATGTGAATCAAGTTCACTCAAGCCCTGCCTACCTTGCTCCCCCAAACACTAGGTGGAAGGTCTTGATCCTGACAATGTTCGGGCCATGGTACGTCTGGGCAAGGGAAACCGTATGGTGACTGTTAGTGAGTACTGCCTGCGGCCCGTCTCCCAGCGGGAATTTGAAAAGAACTCCCTGGATCTCAGTGAGTGAACTCTTAATTAGCTGGGGGAGTTGGAGAAACATTCTTGGGGGGTGGTAGGGTCTGTCTCAAGGAGAAAGGGGGTCAGATCTGCAGAGAAGGGCAGTGGTCTGACTGGACTTACAGGTGTGACTTACAGCCATCGGGAGATAAGAATGAAGATGAGGGGTTTGTTCCATTTGGTGGAAGAAAGGTTGGGCTAGTAACCCTGTGTCTTGAGCCTCTTTGAGGGTGGCAGGGAGAAGCAGGTATCCCATTTCCTACCCTCAGTATGTCTGTCTGTTTGAAGGGCTGAGCCTCTGCCTGAGAAGTAAGAGCAGCTAGGACTGGGATGTGACTGGGGAGGAAGGCATTCTAGGCATTCTTGGTTTGGCAGGTGGGAGCAGAGCACACGGGACTCCCATGTCCACACTAGCTAGGCCTTTGACTCTGGTAAGCATTGTCAGCGCAGGCTGAGATGATTGAGGAAGGCTTCCCAAAGGAGGCCAGGAAGGTTGAAAGGAATGGGGAGGGTGAGCATTCTAATAGCCCAGGCAGTAGCATGATGGTAAGAGGGGGCACTTTGCCAGAGGGTGGGTGACCCAAAATAAGATGTGGCCTCGAAGGAGAAAGAGTTAGACACTGAGACTGTCCTGGTTACTTTGAGCAGGCCAGGTGAGAAAAACTTGCCCAGCACAACAGAATGGAACAGCCTCATCCTCGAAGTCCCAGCGAGATCAGAACCTCCACGTCCGGTGGGAGGACTCAGAAAGGAAGCGGAAATACCTTCCAGACCGGTAGGAACCTGGGCATCTGGGCTGGGGTATGAGGCAGGGTTGTGGAGCGGCTAGCAGTCAAGAGACTTTCGGAACAAGGCAGGCTACACAGGAAGAATGAGGCATAGGGTTAGGAGTGATTTTCACAGTGCCAGCCAAAGGACGATGACTGGGACTCTTGTCTGTGAAGCGCTAAGCCTCGTGTCTCTCTGTCCCCTTCTCACAGACAAGATGGGCCTGTAGCCAAGAGTGAGAAAGCAGCCTCCAGGAGTCAGCACTGGCTACACAGGGACCTGCGTGTGCGGTTTGTGGACAAGCTGCACAAGGGCGGCCAATACTACAACACCAAGGTGGGCACCCCACGGCCTGGGCCTCCTTCCTCTCCTCGGGACTGGCCCCTTAACTCTGCAATATTCTCATATCCCCTGACTCTACCCAGATGACAATCGAAGATGTCCTGAGCCCAGATACTTGTGTATGTCGGACAGATGAAGGCCGAGTCCTGGAAGGTGAGTCTGGGGAACGGCCCCTGGGCCCTTATCTTCCTGGAGGCTGGATGAGAAAGGTGTTTTAGGCCAAGAGCCTGCCCAGGCAGAGACTGAGGCTGGACAGAGTTCAGGTTTTTTGCAAGGCCCAGGAACCTCTAACAGGGCATTAGAGGCTTCTGTGATGGTGATCGCCTAAGCTTCATTTTCCCCGTCTATGAATCAGCATGAATATCACTCTCCCTCACTCTCGGGAGAGACGCCTATGTATTGATTCCCAGTACTGGGCAGGGCTTCTCACATCCACACAGTAATCAAAGTCTGTTGTCACCACCGCCACCATCATTGTGCACAAACCCTCCTTCCTTAACAGTTGTTTTTAGAAACCGTTCCTTAGGCTTCTTCATCTGTGACATGGGTTTGGTGGGATGCCTATCTGTCAACAGGTACAATCAGGGAATTAGAGAAGAGTCCTTCTGAAGGACTGGGGCTGGCACTCACTTGGGCCTTATTCTTCTCTCTGTCTGCAGGCCTGAGGGAAGACATGCTGGAAACCTTAGTCCCCAAGGTTGAGGGCGACCGGGTGATGGTGGTGCTGGGACCACAGGCTGGAAGGGTGAGTCCCAGACCTGGGAATGGGGTGGGAGCCTGCTGGGGACGTCCTAGGGCTTGGGTTAGCCTTGCTGACAATCTGTCCCTACCAGGTGGGCCGTCTGCTGGGCCGGGACAAAGCACGGAGTCGGGCCCTGGTGCAGCTGCGGAGAGAAAATCGGCTGGTGGAGCTTTACTATGATGCGGTCTGCCAGTACGTGGGCCCCAGTGACTCAGAGGAAGACTGACCCATGGACCCACTCCCACCCAAGCTCCCATCGGACTTGTCCAGTATGAAAAGCCTGCCCTTGCCAGGTGGGGAGGTTGCTGCTTTTTCCTCCACTTGCAGTGCAGCCTGGGGACAGGGACAGGACACTGGCAACAGACCCCGTATCTGCCGGAACTCAGTGTGTAATAAAAACTATTTTAAACACTGAGTAAAATGAAGAAATTCTAAACAGTATGGATGGAGGGGGGAATCATTCCAATTTCCAGCTCCCCCTCCCTGACTGGGCTGCAGGACAAGTGAAAGATCCCTTTGCTCACAAGCTCACTCTTGAAATGAAAGCTGTGAACCCCATGCCCTGAGTGGCTGCTGTAGCATCTGGGAATGCCTCGTCTCTGGGCAACTGTGTCTTGCGCAGGTGACAGCAGGGAGTCTAGAGGACGCCTTGGCGCTGCTTGTTAGCAGAGCGGTTCATTTCCAGGCCCTTGGTTTAGTCCCAAACTGTGACTCGATGGTAAAAAGTTTTGGCTGTCTCGGTTAGACTTTCTTTGGTTGCCCTAGGTGACTGTATTCTCAAAAAAGGTCACTGCAGAGAAACCTCAGTTCTTATGTTTCGTGACCTGAGTTACAACAAGGGAAGTCACAGTTGTTCCCAATCACCAAGTCATTGGAGTAATAGTAGTATTTGAATTAGATCTAGGCCTTGAGTATAAACTTCTGATGTGTCAGACCATGACACAGAGCTGGAGAATTTAGACACATCCCTCGGGAACAGGAAACAGCAGAAAGCTGCTCTCCTGTCAGAGGCAGGCTGTGCTCAGAGCCGAAGGGAACCCGTGGCGCAAAGCAGGTGAGGTGGCTGCAGCAGTGCCCCCGTGCCGGGAGGAAGGGGTGATTCGAAAACCCTCCACTCTCATGACTCCAACGTGGAGTGACCCTTTCCTTACTTATCTTCTCCAGCGAATTCCAGAAATATCTTTTTCCAAAATTGGCCAAACAAGGCTGTTGAGGTGGACAGCAGGGGAACAAACTTCCCTCCCCAGTTCGTCCACTTCTCGAGTCATCTTTGTGATTGCGCACACTGCCCCAGGAAATCCAGGCAACATTGTACTTTTCACCTCGCAGAGAAGGGTTGAAAGTTCTAGAGGTTCTGAGTGTGGCAGTTGTGCGTGTGCTTCACCCAGTTCGGGTCTCCCTGTTTCTCCAGATCCTAATTAATCCATCTAAGGTAATCCCTGGGGAGACGGGCTTCAAGCTCCCTGGGGAATGGCTCCAGTCCCCTCCGTGAGCCTTGCAAGTTGGCATCATCTGGCAGCTTTAGACAGTTTCGCCATCTCTGCATCACATACTTACAATAGTCCTCACATTAGATTGTACTTTCCTGGAGTTAATGTTCCTCCCAGCCTTCCTTTAGAAATGCAGCCTGAAGTTCTTGAGTGCAGCCCTGTGTCCAGCCGCCTAGCCGTAGGCCATGCACTTGGTCTCTCCTGACAGACCATCAGACCTTTTTCTTTTCCCTTGAAAGGATCCCTCCTGCTCCCTCAGGTTGAGGACAGGGCTCCTGACATTCCAAGAAGGATGAGCGACATTAGGAGACTTTCCCAGTCTGCCCCTTGTCCAATGTGCACAAAGGCTTGTTTCTAAAGACCCTTTGAGTCTGTGTGGTTTTCTCTCGGCTTGCTGTCTGGCATTGCCTGCTGCCAAGGTCACCCCTTAGGTAGCAGTTGCTGCAGCAACAGCTTCTGTGAGCCCATGAATTCTCTGCAGACCACTCACAAGCCAGGGACTGTGACCGTACAACTTGTCCAGACTGGCTTATTCCACATCACAACGACTGAGCAAAATGTGGGTGAGAAAGCATTTGTCTGTCCTGCCAAGTTCCAGAAGTTTCCCTGGCAGAGCGCTGCCTCTCAAAAACTGAGCCATGAATATCTGACAGCAGACTCAAAAAGCTGCTTTGTGCTACAGAAAGAAGCTATTTGGATGGTTGGGATTGCTCCTGGAGCCAAGCTTGGTGGCAGATGTATGTAGGTAGCCCTCTGGCATTCCCTCTGCAGCTGAGGGGGTGTCTCCCCTTCACTCCTGCATTGGGAGTGAACTTCACCTGCATGTTGGTGGCACTGTGCAGAGGGATAAAGTACCCAACAACTTAGAAAATGACATGAGGGCCCCCCCCCCATGGCGCAGTGGGTTAGGATGCAGCACTGCACGCTGGCCTGCTAAAGTCCAGCCGCAACAGTTGGGGTGACAGGGGTCCTGCAGGAAATGACAGCTGGGCAAAGGTGAATGAGGGACACAACACTGGTTCAGGTGCAAATGTATCCTGCTGAGAGTCTCAGTGGGTCTCTATTTTTATGTTAGCAAGCTGAGGGATTACATCAGCATGTGCATTGAGCAAAAAATAACAACTATCACATTTTTCCCAGGAACAGTTTGAAGTCTTTTGACCTTCAGTCAAAATTGTAACATTTATCATTTTTTAAGAAAGACACAGCTAACAAGCAAAATGTTCTTAATGATTATTTTCTGCAGCTGGACAAGCAGTTTATTAACGATAAAGTTTACTTTACTCAGTTCTATTACTAAAAAAGAGTAGTGTTTCTTGTTGAAGGCCAAACAACAAAGGCTTAAGCTCTCTGGTTCCCAAAGTGATTTTTGTTTCCCCTCCAGAACTTAATTTAGCATGCATGTCTGAAAGATAGTGGAATGATGGAATTTGAATAATTGATTTGGGCAGGAAAAAGGCTCTGGCCTTTTTTTCACATGTTATTAGCACTGTCCCATTTTGCCACATTAACTTTACTTTAATAAAAGCAGCCAGTTGCTTTTATTAAAAAGGCCAAATGTAAAATCAATTTTGACTTCATCAAATGCATCCAAATGCAAAAAGAAAAAAAATGGTTACAATTACAGGAGTGGCCAAACAAATCAGAGATCCAGTAGGAGCAGCTTTGGGGCCCGACTTTTCAGGGGTGCCCACTCATACCCAAACTCTGTCAGATGGCATGAGATTTTTGGCCTGCGCTACTGGCCATAGCAGCCTCAATGCAAGTTCAATCCCCCGCCCAGCAGACCTCTCCTGGCCCGCCCGCTGCTCCCCTCAGCAGTGTACTTCGTTGATCTGCCTGTTCTGCTCCCCACTCTGTCTCTGGTGAAGCCTCTCATCCCTCGCACCCCTGGCCTGTGCCCCAGCTCTGTATGCATAAATAATCTTTTTTAAAAAGTGACACGAGAAAGAGTAGACTCATCAAATAGCCCAGTTGCCCTAGTTCATTGAGTATGCATCTAGTGAGCTCCTACTGTAACCTGAGGACTGATCTGTGTGCTAGCCATACATTTCAGAGTAAATCATTCAGTCAAAAAAATAGTCTATTATAAGCCAGCTCTTCTATCACTTCCTGGAAGAGTTGTCAACACCAGCAAAAGGAGAGAAACATTGAATGTATCCTGTTTTCCCACAGCACCTCACGAGAGGACTAACCCCTTGACTTTGCTCAACAATCGTTTGCCCTGAGTATCCACCATAGAGAAATAGTGGTGCTTTTATAATCAGGAAGGCGTTTACTTGAGAATAGGAATCAGAATTTCATACATGACCAAGGGATAGTTTCAAGGTCTGTACCATCAGGGTTGGCATAGGGGAGTTTTAAAAAATTGGCAAGGAGATGGTATGAGTTTAAAATGATTTGCTATGACTGGCAGGCAGAAAGACTCCTGAGAGAAGATTGTGGTATTGGAGTCTGCTGGCAGATCAGCTGATGTTTCTTGTTACGTGCACTTGCTGAAATCATCTTAATTTTCTCCCATAATTCTTAGCATGGCAGTTTAGGTACAGGATAGAATCTGTGTGCTTCAAAGCAAGTCCCACATGAATTTCCTCATAATCTCACCTTATCTTTGTCTCTAGAAGTGCTTTAAGTCATTAGGAAGTTGCAAATTTAAAAAAATAAACAATGAGGTACCACTGCACACCTAGGAGAACAGCAAAAACCCAAACAACTGACAAAGTCAAATGTTGGCAAAGATGTGGAGTACATGGAGCTCACATTCACTGCTGGTGGGAATGCAAAATAGTACAGCAATAGTACAACAAATGACCACAGTGGCCTGACCTTTTTTGTTTTTTTTAAGATTGATTTATTTATGCATACAGAACTGGGGTACAGGCCAGAGATGCAGAGGGTGAGAGGATTCACCAGAGACAGAGTGGGGAGCAGAACAGGCAGATCGACGAAATACACTGCTGAGGGGAGCAGTAGGTGGGTCAGGAGAGGTCTGCTGCGCCATGTGGGTCAGCTCCGAGACCAGGGATCAAACTCACACTGAGGCAGTTGCAGCTGGCTTGCAGTGCTGCGTCCTAACCTCTTGTGTTACCAGGGAGGGCCGGCTTGGCTGTTTCTTACAAAACTGAACATATTCTTATAAGATTCAGCATTCATCTCCCCTTGGTGTTTACCCAAAGGAGTTGAAAACTATGTCCACACAAGAACCTACACTTAGTCTTTTAGAACAGGAGTGGATATGCTGTAATATATCCAGACCATAAAATATTCAGCACTTTGAAAAAAAAGCTATTAAGCCACAAAAAGACATGGAGGAAGCTTAAAATGTATATTGCTAAGTAAGTTAATCTGAAAAGGCTACATACTGTACAATTCCAATTATATTAAATTCTGGAAAATGCAAAACTGTGGATACAGTAAAAAGTAGTTGCAGACCCTCCCTGGTAGCACAACAGGTTAAAGCACAGCACTATGAAGCTAGCTGCAGCTGCTTCAGCACAAGTTGGATCCCTGACCAGGGAGGTGACACATGTCGTGCAGCAGACCTCTCCTGTCTGAACTGCTGCTTCCTTCAGCAGTGGATTTCAGTCAGTCAGCCTGTTCTGCTCCCCACACCTCTGGCATTCACCCTCGCTCTGTATGCAGAAATACATAAAAATCATTTTAAAAAATGAATCTTTATTATGAAAATCAGTGCTACATAGTTCTTCAGCCGTATCCTATTACTAGATTGTTTTTAATATAGTTTTAGTGTTTTTAAAAAGCAGTAACACTATTCAGAATATCAACAGAAATAAACAGTTAACAGGGCTGCATGTTTAAGGTATTTTGATGTCTTTCTAACCTAGGTCAATTAAAGTGATAAAATCGGTAGTAGCTTTTATTTGGGACCTTAATGCTCTCGATCAGAAACATCGTAAAGTGGCAT